CTGACATTTCCTTTTAGTATTCAGTATACTGGACATGGATCTTCTATACTTTATGTGCATAAAAAATTACTTCTGAATTTTTTCCAATTACATTGAGAAATCTGTGAACTAGGAACATTATTTTGTATCTCCAGGCAACAAGCTTTGTACTTGGCACAAAGCAACAACTCAGATTCCCAGATTGTGTAGTTCAGTGGTTCTCTGAGAAACAGATGTCATAATTAGCTAATCATTTATTAGATTCTATTTTTAAATGCACCAATTCTGAACATGACTTCAAATTTTTTAATGGTCAAGCCCTTAGTATTTGCTATAAGTTAAAACTACTAATTAGGCTATAAAGTTGATGCTAATATTTAATAGAGTGTTAGAATAAAAACACTGTACATCCATAAATTCCCAATGATACTGCTTTTCTCCTTTTTACTAGCTGCAGAAGATACAGGAGGTGGTGCTGATGACAAAAAGTCCAAAACTTGTCTAATGTTGTAATCTGCTCCAACTGGTCTAAATTTCAAATATTGTTTCTACTTTAGAAGAAAAACAGAAAACATTCAAAGGAACTTCAGTGAATTTCATTCAGCAAACCATGAACATAGAAAGAGGTGCTTCAGAAAAGTTACTGTTGTAATTATTAAAAGAAAATACCCTGCTAGCCTGAAAACCCTGAGGGTAAAAAAAATTCAACAGAAGTGTAAAATAAGATGAAAATAAATGTATTTTGGGGTGCCAGTTTGTTTCAAATTAAAAATATATAATCCTGACACTAGTCCCCAATTTTTTAAAGTTCTTATTAATTGCATTCATTTGCTAGGGCTACCATGACAGAATACCGCAGACTTGGTGGCTTAAACCGAGATTTATTTTCTTACCATTCTGGAGGCCAGAGGATCAAGATCAAGATGTTGGCAGGGTTTGGTTTCTTGTGAGGCTTCTCTCCTTGGTTTGTAGATGGCCAGCCTCTCCCTGTGTCTTTACATGGTCTTCCCTCGTGTGTGTCTGTGTCCTAATCTCTTCTAAGGACAGTCATATCGGATTAGGGGCCACTCACAGACTTCATATTACTTTAATAATCTCTTTACACTATCTCCAAATACAGTCAAACTGAGGTACTGGGTGTTTCTATTTCAGCATCACTTTGAGGGGGAACACAATTCAGCTCATTGCATTAATAATTGTGATTTATATACTCAAATCCCTCCCTGAATTAAAAATATCTCATCAATATGCCTTAAGAGTGAATATAGTATAGAATGTATAATTTATATAGATATTATATAACAAAGGAGGAGGACGTCAAATGTTATTACATCTGAACCCTAGTCTGCTCTTTTCCTCTACTTTTTACCCTTGCTAATGGAATGGTAAAGACCACACCAAGGCAGCTTATAAACTATGACTTGTCCTGTGCCCATCCTTCTATGCAAGTCTGAAATCATTTATTTCATGTGTAATTAAAAATATTTTATGATCAGAACTATTACTATTGAAAGAATTGTCAATTATAAGACATTACCTAGAAAATTCTAACGCAAGTTACACCAGCTAATAAATATTATACATTATTAGAAGCATGTGGTTTGATTATATGAAAACTATACTATCAAAAGCCATTGGGAAGGACTTCAAGAGAGGTTACTTATAAAAATGACTGCTAGAACTATATATTGATTCTATGTACTAACTTTTCAAGAGGCACTGAAGATAATCAAATAATTTTACTATATGGTGCATGTCTGGACATCAGAAAAAATTAAGATTTCTTCCTTTTCTTACCTATAACTGTAGGCCAAATTACAAAACAGACCAAATAATAATTATACCATAAATTTTTTTTAAATCAAGAGATAGCTAAGTTATAATGAATCGAACTGTTGACCTATGAACCTCTAATGTTTTATTATACAGGAGATATTATTGGGTTGGCCAAAAAGTCTGTGTAGTTTTTTCTATAAAATAAAAGACATATTTTTCATTTTCACCAATAACTTTATTGACGTGGATATTTTGAGTACGTTGGCTATCTCATGTGTGATATGTTGATCGTTCTCAATGTCTACATTTGATCGCTATCAACTTCAACTGGTCTACCCAACCATTAAGCATTGTCCTGTAAGAAACCTTCAGCTTGAAACTTTACAAACCAGTTTTGACACACTGAATTCATCATAGCACCTTCTGCATACACTGCACGCAGAACAGGCAGGTCCCATATTTACTTATGGTGGACAAAAATTCAGGAGGGATATCTCCTGCTGAGGAGTCCCAGCCCCACACAAGTCCCTCCAGCTCAGGGCTCCAGTGCCAAGAAGGTAAGTACCCACAACTTCTGGCTGCAAAAACCAGCGAGGATTCAATCGGTTGAAGAAAATTCTGGAGCCCCAAGCAGTTCCTCTTAAAGACCCATCACACTGACTCACCTACTCAGACTCACTCCCTCTGAGCTCCAGCACCAGGGTAGCAGCCTAAAGGGCACCAGCGGCATACAGGGAGGAACTGAAGTGTCTGGCAACAAGGCAAACAGAGACCATCGTCCCTTTTCTAAATACTCCCCCCACAGAGCTGGCAAGCTGGTGCCATACCTAGAACTCCATCAACCTGTCTAACACTGTTTGACCCCCCCTTGGAAATCTCCAGAGACTGTGCCCACCCATCTTACAGGCTTACCCAAGCTTTTTTTTTTTTTCCCCCCACATAAATGGCTGGTCTTGGCTCTTGCTTCATAACCTCCTAAGTCTTCTCAAATAAGCAATAGCTGGCCTCAGTGAGCTCCAGGCCCAGCATTAGTAGCAGCCAGCTTTGATTCACAGCTTGGCTTTGCCTGGGAGTCTCCAAGTCCAACAAAAGTAGCAACCATCTCAGATTGCTTTATAGTTTAGGTAAGGTGTCCCTGGGCAAAACACAGGATGGGGGGCTGAACTTGGCCTGCACGACTTGGGAAATCCCAGGGCTAGCACACCCAGTGGACAGTTCCAGACCATATTCAGAGCACCACCACCCTGTCCCTGTGCAGCTGATCCTCCAGCTGGAGAGTGGAGACTGGTGGTCAGTGGTCACAGCCAATCCTTGCAGCTGACTAACCTGGGTAAATCCCTCCCATAGATCTGCCAACAGCAATCAAGGCTGAACTACAAGAGAAGGGAGTACTCAGCCCATACAAAGGTGCACCTTGAGTACCCAGCTTGGGTAATACAGGAGGCTCTGCCACTAGACCCTACAGGTCACCTACTACATTAGGCCACACTACCGAGACACAGAGTTAAAGCAGCTCTACTTAATACACAGAAACAAACACAGGGAGGATGCCAAATGAGGAGGCAAAGAAACATGGCCCAAATGAAAGAACAGATCAAAACTCCAGAGAAAGAGCTAAATGAAATCAACATAAGCAATCTATCTGATGCAGAGTTCAGAACTCTGGTTATAAGGATGCTCAAGAAATTTAGTACGGACCTCGACAGCATAAAAAAGATCCAGTCAGAAACAAAGGATACACTAACGGAAATAAAAAACAATTTACAGGAAAACAACGGTGGAGTGGATGAAGCTGAAAATCAAACCAATGATACTGACCATAAGGAAGGAAAAAAACAACCAATCAGAACAACAAGAAAAAAAAAAAATGAGGACAGTATAAGCAGCCTGTAAAACAACTTCAAGAGGTCCAACATTTTCCTCATAGGGGTACCAGAAGAAGAGAAAGAGCAAGAAATTGGAAACTTCTTTGAAATATAATGAAAGAAAACTTTCCTAATTTGGTGAAGGAAATAGACATGCAAGTCCAGGAAATACAGAGAGTCCTAAACAAGATGGTTGCAAAGTGACCCACTCCAAGATAATTGAAATGCCAAAGGTTAAAGATAAAGAATCTTAGAAGCAGCAAAAGAAAATAAGTTAGTTACCCACAGGGGAGTTCATAAGACTGTCAGCTGATTTCTCAAAACAAACTTTGCAGGCAAGAAGGGATTGGAAAGAAATATTCAAAGTCATGAAAAGCAGGGACCTACAGCCAAGATTGCTCTACCCAGAAAAGATATCATTTAGAACAGAAGGGCAGATAAAAAACTTCCCAGACAAGAAAAAAACTAAAGAAGTTTATCACCACCAAACCATTATTATATGAAATGTTAAAGGGATTTAAGAAAAAGATCAAAACCATGAAATCAAAACAGCAAAAAATACAAATCTACCAACAATTAAATCTAAAAAACAAACTGAACAAACAAGAACAGAGACAGAATCATGGATACAGAGAGCATTTTGATGGTTGCCAGACGGGAGGGGAATGTGGGGAAATGTGTGAGGAGGTGTGGGGATTAAGAAGTACAAATGGGTAGTTACCAAATAGCCATGGGGATGTAAAGTACACTATAGGAAATGGAGCAGCCAAACTTATACTCATGACCCATGGACATGAACAATAGTGGGGGAACTGTCTGAGGAAGCAGGGGAGTGCTGGGTGAAGGGGTGGCAAAGGGAGAAGAATCAGGACGACTTTAACAGCATACTCAATAAACTATAAATAAATAAATAATTACAACTAAAACATAAAAAATAAGGTAAGGTCCATGAGATGAAAGTTTTTTGTCTGTTTTAGTCTGTTTTGTTCGTAGCTCTATCCAGCCACCTAGAGAAGTACCTGGTATTAAGGTAGGTGCTTAGTAAATATGGGTATTTCTAGTCTCATCACACAGGTTTATAAATGAGGAGAACCTGTAAATAAAATTATTTTGGGGGAGAAAAAAACTCAATACATACAACCAAGTGAGTATTGTCTTCTTTCCACCATTATCCAATAACCCTAATAATTTTAACTAATTGAGGCAAGGGAATATAAATATGAATAAGTGAAAAAGAAACTTTTTGTTCCCTACAAAATCGAGGAACAATGGAATCTCTATGCAGTGTACTAGCTCCATCCTCTGGGAGCTACAGAGGAAACAGAGGGATGGGGAAAGTTTCCCCAACACAACTAATGAACTTCCAAAGCATTTGACATCTTGAGAGTAGCTGAATTTTTATTTCTAGAGACAAATCACTCAAACTGCAACTTGCAGATAAAAGTTTTTGGAATCATTTCAAAGTGTATTTTTATATTAAGGAATGTAGGATTCTCTCTTCCATCTCACAGAAACAAATCTTGAAAATATTCATCAAATTCTTCTTCCCTATTTAAAAAAAGTATACACATTGATTAAAATAAGCAATTAGATAAAAAACATTACTATGTGACACATGAGATCAACAGAAATATTTAAATTCAATATTTGATGATTTTTCTACCTATCAATATATTTCATGATTCATCTATTAAATAATTATTAGCTTCTAGATAACCACAACTATACCCAGATAGATTGAAATGAAAATGTTTTATATGTTGGTACCTATCCCTAAATGTATTTACTACCTAAGATTTTACTTTGAAGTACTTCGTAAAATGTTATTTCTTTATTTTTTTGGTTCACTTCATAACTTCTCTTTTCATTCTCATTTTAAATTATAGTCTGATCAAGAAATGAGCAAAAAAGAAACTTTTTAAAGAAAACATACAAGTGTTACTCCTAGCCAATTTGGAAAATATGCTTAGGCTTCAAGTTTCCTTACTAGAAGAAGAGTAAAACAGTAAATGTACCAGCAGATTATGTCTAAAACAAAAACAGAACTCTGAAAGGAGATGTTAAATGGTATGTTACTGTGTTAAAAATACTGTGAAAATTATAAAGTACTAATAAGAATTAACGCTAGGAGCCAGAGTGGTGCTGCGGAAATGGCATGTTTTCAAGTCCAATGGTGTTTAGGTCCCAGCTCTGTCACCTCTCAGAAGGTGAGCAAGTTAGTTAAATTCTCTGGGCTGTTTCCTTTTCTGTAAAATGGAAAACATTACATTTCCTAATAGAGTTTCTGTAAGGATTAAATGTATGCAAAGTTGCTTTTCCTCCTTCTGGGAATGGGGAAAATCAAGCTGAATAGTCAAACTCAGTGTATCAGTTTTTAGAAAATGCTCTTTAAACTGGAGATTCACAATGGTACTCTACCATTTTGGTTTTAAATACCTGTAACTGCATCAAGCCATCACAACTATGTCAAAATTGAAAAAAAAATTTACAAAATCAGATAAAGTTGATTTAAAAATGATCTGCGACTTGGTATTCCCCGTGCTACTGTCCCTTTCCCCTCGCATGATGGAAAAATGCAGAATTCTAAAAATAGTAAGAACTTAAGTAAAATTAGCTGAATCTCTGTGTGAACTCAGATGTTTAGCACTTTTGATCAATGTCAAGTTTTTAAAGAGTCACAGAGTTTGGGATTACAAAAGCCTTCTTAAGATTTACTTATATATCTTTATTGCTAAAAAGGTAAGTTGACTCTAAGACATATTCCATCATCTGCAGCTGTAAAGCCATTCAAGGGGAAACCATGTGGTTGAAAGTTTAGTCAATAATATACCTAAGATAGCCATATCTTATTTATACCAGTAACTTTTTAATAATGTGATGTATAATGACCACACATGTAAAAATTCTTTGGCTAAAAAAAAGATAAATAAAACAAAAAGGTCAAAGGCTACAGAAAAAAATAATCTTGTTAAAAAAACCTCTTTACAACAAACCTGAGAACACACAATTAGCATAATCAGCAAGATATTTTATAATCAACTTAAATCACTGAATTATGACTAATTCAACAGGTCTCTTCCTATTATGAACCACATATGCTTGGTTACAAACAAAATGAGACTACACTTTATTGAGTAGCTACCATATTTGTAGGTATTGTACCATGTGCCTTCCATTTCTTATTTCACTAAACTTTAATAATAAACTCTATACAATAGGTACTATTTTATCCTCTTTTGACAGATAAAGTTCAAATGGTGAACACCCCAGCATATGACAAAAACTGGCACTATCCCAGCTCATATCCAGACAGCTCTTCTATCCAGAGCAGAGAAAAACGCAGGCAATGAGTTATCTGTCTATGTGGGTAAAGGGGTGCTGGCAAGTAAACTTTTACACCTGTATATGTCTTTGAGTAGCTCCCTTCCCTGTACAGAGTCATGATAATCAGAGCATCATGCATGGACGGCTCTGGAGCTAGAGAACAACCATTCTCTGAAGGAATCTAAGCAAAAACTTAGTCATCTATTAGAGGTGAGGAAAGATTTACTCACCAACATAAACAACAATGGCTCGGAATAATCTCTGATCTTACTAGGGTCCTTGGCATTAAACAGATTTTCATGATGATAAGTTTTTCCATTAACTGTTGTCAAGAACCGCTGTGGTCATAGCTTCCTTAACTGATAAAAAGGGTATGTATTACTTATTTATGGAAGAACTTACTGTGATTTTTCATCGGTTTCTGGTAGGGGGCCCTTCCAAAGTTCAGATTCTGAGGTACTTTCTTCCTCATCAGAGCTTCCTGTTCATTTAAAAGAGATTTTTTAAAAGACGGGAGTATTATAATTAAAACACATTTTGAACTACCCACCAATGCAATTAAGTTAACTTCAGATTTAATTGCAATTTAGCTTCAACTTTTATGGCTCTGTGAAAATTTAATTCACTCTTCCAGACCAATAAATTCTTTCTAAAAATAAATAAATAAGCTGAGGTATATCAAAGAGTCTCAGTAAAAAGACCAAGGAGTTAAAAGCTCATGGAAAACTTAAGTTACACAAAGTAGCAATTCCAATATTAACTCTAATAAAGGAATTATCTCTTGTAATATACATGGTTGTCTTTGATTTAGTTTCTTATTTTATTGGTCATACAAAAGAAATGCAAGTTAAGATTTTTGTAGAGAGTATATATTTACTTTAGGATCAAGACCTCAAAAACTTAACTAGTTATGTAGGACTAAGCTAAATTATGAAAGAAAAGTCAGATAATTTTTAAAATTAATGTTGATTATATTAATTAGAAGAGGCCTGTTATAGTGAAGAAATAGAAATTCTCATATGTTAGAAGTAAAATTTCTGTAAACTTTTTCTTGAGAGAAATCTAGTAATACAGATTAGTTTAGAATGTGAATACCCTTTGACCAGCAAATGCCGGGTTTTAGAATTTAATTATTTACTTAAAATAAGCATTTCAGATATACATACAAAGATGTTCATTGTATGATGATAACAATAGAAGTAAACAACCTAAATTCCCACTAGTTAGGGATTAAAGATTGGTTGAATAAATACTATACAGCTATTAAAGAGATATCAGCATATCTGTTATGTATCACCATGGGAAAATGCCTGTGATATGTTAAATTTTTAAATTACAGAAAGCATGCACGATGTAATCCAATTTATATTTGTTATACAAATATCTACATAAAGATACATAGAGAGAATTATATTTGTGTTATGTATATATGTATTATAAGTTTATAAGGACCACACAGACTCTAACTATATTGCCTGTGGACCTGGGATACTTTCACTTTCTACTTTAAGCATTTTCAATTTTTTTGTATTTTAAACAATCATGCACTACCTTTGAAATAACTAAAAAATAACATACACCTATTTTTGAATGATGACAAAATGTTTCAAATCAATCACCTTATATCAGTCAACTAAAAATGATCAAGCACTAAAAAATTATTATGAGGCAATAAAATTATATGCCACAACATAATTACAGTAGTAAATAATTCCTCTCCAATAATGACCATTAGTCTAAAAAAGAAATGACACAAATTTGGCCTAGGAGTACAGAACGTCAAACAGCATGTCCCTTCTTAGTCAAACACAAGACAAAAACAGAACAGCACTGATTTGCCACGGTGGTTTTAGCCTTTCACCTGTTGGACTCTGCTCCTTGAATCAATATATGTATCTGAACTTTGGTCCTGACTGAATCTATTTTGGCCCAAATTCTAATAAAAATGGATCAAAAAGAGAGGGATGTACTTCTAATGATCTACATACAAGGGTGATAAAAGTATAACACCTTTGGAACAAGACTCCCACTCAATGACAGCCAGTGTCCCAAACTGAATTACGCAGTAAGAATTAAGAGTATTCCACTTTCATTTTTATGGGAAAAAAAGCACAGAAAAACTAAGTAGGTTTAATAAAGTTATCACTATGGTGTAACCCTATTGATGATATAAGAGAACAAATTTACAATGCCTTTGAAAGTGGACAGCGAATTGCAAAAGGCCTTACAACCACCTGCTGTCATAGTCCCCCTCAAAAGTACTTCCCAGATGCCAGCTTTCCTACACCAGTTCTCAGATGCCAGACGATCAAGTCTGCCTTAAAAAATCAAATCAGTTTAGATAACTGTCTGATAGAGCACCTGCTGAAAAACTGATGAAATATCTTTTGAGAAGTAAATCTACAATATCGGACTATATGACCTTTAAGGTTCCTTACAACTAACTCCATGAATCTAGCGTCTCCTGTTTCCCTGAGGGTGACAATAACTACAAACCATTCCTATGATAACTGCTATAACCTGCCAGAGGTGGGAGGGGTGTTGCTACAGAAATAAAAATTAGTATGGTGGACAATACAAAACAATCCTCCTGCATCAGCGTCAAACCTATGCAAATCTGTTGGCAAGTAGGGATCAAAACTCAAGCCTTTGACTCTGTGTTGGAAGAGGATCTAGAGGTCTTTAATCCAACACTTATCCAATGAGTGAATCTTTTATTGTAACATCTCTAATAATGAGTGGCCATCCAATTGACGCTTGATTATCTCACTTCTTCCTGAAGCAGCACATTTCCCCATTCTTTTCTTCAGCTAGTTCTGACAAGTTTTTCCTTAAATTAAGGCAAAACTCTGTCCTCAGCAATTTTTATCCACAGCCTCTAGTTCTGCCAATCATTCACCTATGGGGACCGAAGGCAGGCAGCCCCAAGATATTTCACAATGGCATATTGATTATTTTCAGTTAAAATTACTTAGGAAACTGCCAGTGAAAAAACATTCTGATCTCTCTGTTCCTAAAAGCCAGGATTAAATCTCCCGGGTAAAAGGTACCCTCCCTCCCTGCACTTGGGGGCCAAGAATTCCCTTATTAGAATTAAATGACCCAGAACCAAAGAATCTGTGTAAACAAACCTTGTCGGCTCTTTTCTAACTCACTACCCAACCCCTCATTTTGTTTAGATGCCTCACTAACGAGTACCCAAACCTTGTTTACATTCCTTTCTAATGAGCATTTCCCCCCTTTTGTTCTGTCAATTTCTTCACTGATTGTTTCTTTGACTAAGAACTATAAAAGATACCTGGTTCAATAATTTCTTTGAGCCTCACTTTATGACTTGAACATAATATTATGCCTCTCATGTGCATGTTTTTCTCTTGTTAATCTAATCGTATGTCGATTTTATTATTAGGCCAGCCATTTAGAATCTAAGAGAGTGCACCCCCGTCCTCCACACACACCAAAAATTAGTCTTCCACAAAGCAGTGGTTCTGCAAATATCTAGTTTGCATGTCTCCCTCCTTACCTCTTTCCCCCCATTCCTGCATCTTTCTCCAAGTTAAACATCCACAGGTCCTTAAACCTGCTTCCCACAGCACAGCTTCAAGTCGTGTCAATGCCATGGGTTCTGTTCTTGACTGTTTTAAGTTTTTCAATGTTCCCTTTAGAAATGATGCAAACTGCACAGTTCTCCTCATACTTTGAATAATAAAAGTGGGTCTATCATTTTGATTTTCCTGGTTATTATATGATACTTGAATATCTTGGCCTACTGAAAAAGTGGCAAATCTCCGATTATGACAACAAATCAACAGATCAGACTTTTACAGAATTTTTGATCTGACCAGTTTTAGAGAACAAATACAGAATGTGTAATGTTTGGTATTTTTTCTTTTATATTATAACAATTATAGCTACAGGTTATCAAAGACCTACTTTGTACCAGACACACGCTTTACTCAACTGTTATCTCATTAGACTGGTAATAATCCAACAAAGTGAAGTCTCTTTATGCCCATTTTACAGATAGAACTGAGACATGGATAGAGCATATCATCTAATATGGATTTGTATAATGTATCTGCCAAAATGTACTGAATAGATTTACATTTGACTCACTGATGAAGTTATTAATCACATACGTAAGAGGTCATAGACTCACAAACCTGTGTTTAATCCTAGTTCTGCCATTAACCAACTACTTGATCCATGGCAATTTATATACATGCATACCTTGTTTTATTGTGCTTTTCTTTATTGTGCTTCACAGATGTTGGTTTTTTTGTGGGTTTGTTTTTTTAATAAACTGAAGGCAAGATCCTCCACAAACAAAAAGATTATGACTCACTTTATAGCAACATTGGCTTTACTGTGGTGGTAGGAAACCGAACCTGCAATATCTCTGAGATATGCCTGGGTCTCAGTTCTCTAGTCTGCAAAATGGGATATTAAATGCCCATTATTATTATTAAATGAAATAATACAACTAAACTACTTGCTGTTGTGGCTGATAAAGCAGACACTCAACAAATGCAAGTTACAATTCTTTTCCCCCACAGAAATTAGGTTTTTCCTCATAGATTTGGTCTTAATAATCCTCATGTCCAACAGGCATAAAGGGTAACTGAATAGTATCCACATGTAAATGAAAAATAGAATTAGCAAAATTTGAGTTCTGAAATCACTGCCACGGCCATCTGAGATAGACAGCTGACCACCTGAGAGGACACCTGGGTTTGGTACACTGTACATAACAAGGTATACGTCTCCTACTCAATATGGTAAGTGGCTTTCTGACTGCCAAGTGGATAGCAGGTCACCTTGAGGTGGATAATGTTTCTTCAAGAACCAAACTACACTAGAAGCTCTTCACACTGGGTACAATATTCTCTCTACTAACAGAAGTTTGACCTAGCTAAGAGGTGAAGAGACTTAGGCTATTTCTGGAAGATGGGGGGGATCACAGGGGCTAAAGGGAGGACTGTGGAGGAAGAAAGAGTAAATAAAAGAATGAAAATAAATGAGTAAGTCAAGAACGTTTAACAATGAAAAACGAACTGGAAACAGGCAATGTTTTTCTTCTACATTAAACAGGCCTTCATACCTCTCATTGCAATGGACTACTGGAAATGGATAAAAACTAAAATTTCTCATTTTATCCTGTATATGTTTTTAAAAAATACACATATTTACTACTTCCTCCTCAGACACCGTAAGTCTATTAGTTTCATGCCTGGCTGTGTCCTAGAAGCTGTTACTACATTTCACCCAGGTTAGATGAAGGAATTGCTGATAGATTAGGATTCATGTGGGGAGAGAGAGTCAAACACTTCAAATACACTGAAAATAAAAGTGTTATGAACAAAATAATTTCTAAGGAATATGTGTATTACTAAGTTAGAGAAATGCCTCCACTGATAATACTCTTCTTCATTACATTTTTAAACACTAAATCTTTTTTTAAAATATTTTATTTATTTATTTTTAGACAGAGGGGGAGGGATAAAGGGAGGGAGAGAAACATCAATGTGTGGTTGTTTCTCGTGCACCCCCAATTGGGGACCTGGCCCACAACCCAGGCACGTGCCCTGACTGGGAATCCTTTGGTTTGCAGGTTGGCACTTGATCCACTGAGCCAAACCAGCCAGGGCAGTAAACACTAAATCTTTTAAACTAAATTTCCATTTTATTATTTTCTCAGTGCAAAATTTTGATTATTAAACACTTAAAAATTCTCCTTAAGAATTATAATAAAATGCTAATAATGTTTATATCTGAACAGTGGGATTTGAAGTCTTTACTATTATTTTCCTGAGTCTGCCACAGTAAACACATTATTACTTTAAAATCAGAAAAAAAATAATTCTTAAGTTTATAAATTTCCAAGTAACCCAGAAGTCTTAAATATCTAAATTTCTATAAAATAAGTCCAGATATTATCAAATGAATTAGATATGCTATTGATAATACTTTAGTGTTAGGCCCAAAGGCTACTGCAAAGTGTTTAAGAAATTGAACACTGTATTACTGTTGAGATGCAAGGGTACTGTTTGTTATACCGCAAATGGATGCCCCTCTTTGTAAACCCATAGGAGGTTCTGTTCTCAAAACTCTGCCTGGAAAAAGCTAAACATCCGTCAAGTTCTCTTTATCATCATATGGGTATAATTAATCATTCTACTGGTGGTTTTGTACTTTGGTTTGGTTGTTAGGTAGATCACAGTAACAAATCTGTGATCTACCTTTGCAATTATGCAAAACTTTTTGGTAAACATTTTTCGTATTAATTTTACCTCTAGCTTTATTTTGATATTCTATATTATTTTTCCATTTTTTGAAGTCTTTAAAAATCTTATTGTATATATTTTTGTAAGTCATTGTGAATACTTTGTAGAAAGCTACAGGGAAAAATATAATAAAATTTATAGCAAATATTTGATCAAATCCAACCTGGTTTGATCCAATCTTGTGAAAACCTTATAATTAAAAAACTAACCAGTAGCAACCAGATGCAAACATTTGCTTTCCATGCACAAATCACACTCTTCACTTGATCAACCAAAATCACCAAATGACAGAGATAACTCAGTCCTGTGCAATATAAGCAACATTTCTTAAATCTTAACACACACACCCAAGTCTTTTTCCAATGCAACCCCATCCCTCCATTTCTCTTTATACTTCATAATGTAAAATTCAAATGTGTATACATTGTATTCCTGGAGAAAAATCTTATGCTCTTCTATACATAAAATAAGAAACTTTTAAATGTTCTAAATTGGGGAAGAAATCATAAGACCAACATAATTGGTCTTTTCCTGTGATTTTTCTCACATAGTACAAAATAAAAAATAATTTACATCAGAGTAGATCACAATTCATGGGAAACCCAAACTGCAAATGACTTGAATCTACATATTTTTACTAAATGAAGAAATACTTGATACTTACTGTTTACAGAATCTTCTGATTTCTTTGAGGATGAATGTCCTGAAAAGGAAATAGGATTGTTTTGCTAACCAGCTTGCAGAGGTGAAACAACTGTGGCTATAACCAGAATTCTTCCCAACAATCTAGTTTACTTTATAGTCTTATAGAGAAAAGCACTTCACGGTCTTCCAATCTTTCATGTTCCTTAGACTTATCTCCCTAATTAAAATATTAGGTTATCTGGAGCAATTTTTATGCCCTCATATAGAATGGAATACCTAGCACGAAGCTTAAAAACATGTTACTAAAAAAAAAATAAGAGGACTTCCGCCAAGATGGAGGAGGCATAGGTGGAAGCACTGCACCTTCTCACACAATCAAGTTTAAAAACAACAAAGTTTTAGCAACAAAAACGCAGCCAAACCACAGAAAACTTAGCTACATGGAAGTCTGACAACAATGAACCCTTCAGCCAAACCAGTAAGAGGGGCAGAGCCAGCAGCAGAGCAGGGTCGGGCAGGAAAGATCCACTGGACTGACCCAGGCACGCAACCCAGGTGCACCAGCAGCCATGGGCGGATCCCAGGTGTGGAGTAGCAGCAGGCAGACCCAGTGAGGGTGCAAGGTGGTGGACTCACTGAGGGCTGACCACAGTCACACATTCGAGCGCAGATAAATCGGTGAAGGAGCAAGCGGTGAGACAGACTGTGCAGGTCCCAGTAGCAGAAAGTGGCAGAGGAGACTGCCATCGTCCCTCTCTGACCCCGCCCCCACATAAGCGTCACAAACCAGCAACCTGGTGGCCCCGCCCTGGTGAACACCTCCTCGTAAGTAACAGGCACAAACAGATCAAAACATGGCTCAAGAACAACTCAGAGCCCCAGTGCTGATAAGCCTAAGCGATGAAGAAATAGCCAAACTTTCAGATGCACAGTTCAAAACACTGGTGATCAGGATGCTCACAGAACTGGTTGATTATAGTCACAAATTAGAGGAATATATGAAGGCTAAACTAATTGAAATGAATGGAAATGCACAGGAAATCAATAGTAATGGAAAGGAAACTAGGACTCAAATCAAAGGAGTGGACCAGAAGGAAGAAAAAAATTACCAAACATAAAAGGATGAAGAAACAAGAATTCAAAAAAATGAGGAGAGGCTTAGGAACCTCCAGGACATTTTTAAACATTCCAACATCCGAATTATAGGGGTACCAGAAGGGGGAAAGGAACAGCCACCAGTGGAAAATTTATTTGAACAAATAATAAAGGAGAACTTCCCCAGTCTGGCAAAGGAAATAGACTTCCAGGAAATCCAGGAAGCTCAGAGAGTCCCAAAGAAGTTGGACCCAAGAAGGAATACACCAAGGCACATCATAATTACATTAGCCAAGATTAAAATGAAGGAGAGAATTCTAGAAGCAGCAAGAGATAAGGGGACAGTCACCTACAAAGGAGTTCCCATTAGACTGTCAGCGGATTTCTCAAAAGAGACCTTACAGGCAAGAAGGGGCTGGAAAGAGGTATTCCAAGTCATGAAATCCAAAGACCTACAACCAAGATTGTTCTATCCAGCAAAACTTTCATTTAGAATGGAAGGACAGATAAAGTGCTTCTCAGATAAGATCAAATTCAAGGAGTTCATCACCACCAAGCCCTTATTATATGAAATGTTAAAGGGACTTATCTAAGAAAAAGAAGATAAAAAAGATGAACAGTTATTAAGAACCACACCTAAAACAAAAGCAAACTAAGAGGACAGCTAGATCAGAAGCAGAACCATAGAAATGAAGATCACATAGAGGGTTAGCAACAGGGGAGTGGGAGAAGGAGAAGGGGGGAGAAGGTACAGAAAATAAGTAGCATAGATGGTAGGTAGAAAATAGATAGGGGGGAGGGCAGGAATAGTGTAGGAAATATAGAATCTAAAGAACTTGAGACACATGGTCATAAACTAAAGGGGGGGGAATGGTGGGGGAGGGGTGTGCAGGGTGGAGGGGAATGAAGGGGGGAATAGAACAACTGTAATGGCATAATTAATAAAATATATTTTAAAAAATCAACCCATAGATTAACTACAATAGAACCAATACTTTATATATAGATGTTTAACATCTGAAAGCCATTTACAAATAAATACTCATTTTTCACAATATTTTTTCAAGGATCCTACAGGTGAGAATTAACCCAAAGTTCTCAGTAACTGAAAATCACATACACAATTATGTTATAAAACTAAATCATTCAATTCTACAATGGTTATCCAATGATTTCTTCAAAAGGAAAAGTGCAGGGTGCTTCTGAAATGTCTAATAGGAACCCAACCTTGCCTGGTACAGTGGACTGAAGAGTGTCAGGAAAGGCCTTTCCAAGGAACAGCTTGGGAATGGGGTGGTGGTAGGAGGGTGAAGACTCGAGTTTCTGTCAAGACATTCTAAGTACTTTGTCATACCTACCAAAGCAGACTGGTCCTCAAGGTCAAGCTACTGATCTGTCTTTCTTCAACTTCCTCTCCATTCATTCAGCCACCTAGCTGTTCAATTAATTATCCACCCATTCAATTATCCATCCATCCATCCATCCACCCATCCACTGATAACCCAAGGCTATGAGAATAGATGGGATCACACAGGAAATGGTGGGTGGGAGGGAAAGAAAGAAGGGAAATTACATAACAATCTGAGCAACTCCAACATCTAAGGGTAAGTAAGAGTGAGGAGGAATTCTAGTCAAAAAAGGTGAGGAGAGGCCAGAAAGATAGAAACAAATCAAGCAAATACATTGTTTTGAGAAGGAGTGACAACAGTCCAAATACAGCTATTAACATTTATTAATTACAATTCAAATTTGGGCCAAATTAAGGTATCTGGCAAGAAAGTAGCACATCGAGATCAATCTAGCTCCATATAAGAAGATGTTAAAGAAGCCCTGGCTGGTGTAGCTCAGTGGATTGAGCGTGGGCCTGCGAACCAGAGTATCGCGGTTCGATTCCCAGTCAGGGCACATGCCTGGGTTGCAGGCCAGTTCCCAGCAGGGGACACAGGAGAGGCAACCACACACTGATGTTTCTCTCCCTCTCTCCTTCCCTTCCCCTCTAAAGATAAATAAATAAAATAAAATAAAGAAGATATTAAAGGGTTTCACATGATTTTCTTATATGCTTGCTAAAAGGTTGTCACTTTCTACTTTATATCATATAAGTTGAAAAAAATATATCCTGTACTCTGCTATCAAAGTTGCTCTGAATAAAGAATAAATAAGATATTTCAATTCCATTGTACTTTGGTTTTCTATCTCTGAAGTTGCCTGAAACAATCTTTAAAGTCTTTAATTTTCTCACTGATTGTTATTTACGCCTAACATGTGCTAATGGGTGCTGAGGATGTATCAATGAGCATAGCAGAGAGCATTGCTGCCCTCCTTGGACTTTCATGTAATTGTCACATATGTCATGAAAGACAAGTTCCAGGGCTGTGATATAATTATAATGGGAGCCCTAATTTATTAATAGATCCATGGTCACGGATAGAGTCAGGAAAGGATCCCTGAGAAAGTGACATTTAAGCTTAGACCTGAAGGATGAGTTAGGATGGGACCGGGGGGTTTTAAGAAGAGAGGAAATAGTATCTATGTAGTCCCTAAATTAAAAGAAGTTTCAAATTTCCAGAAACTGAAAGGCTATTTGGGTAAAGTGTGAAAGTGAAGTAGAGAGTGATAGGTAAAAGGACTCGTATGCCAGATCATATAAATATAAAGCCTTTGGGCTTTGTGCAGGATTTTGGTTATTATCCTAAGAACAACAGGGTATCACTGATCTATGGCAAACAGAGTAAGAGGAGGGAAGGTGGGAAGTCGAGACAGTAAAGGAACCAGTAGGGAGAACATAGCAGTAGTCCAGAAGAAAAAACACAGTGGTCTGAACCAGGGTGGAGAGAACTTGAGAAATACATACCCGGGGGTAAAACTGATAGAATTTTGTGACAAGTTTAACATAAATAATGAGAAAAAAGAAAGCATCAAGGATAATGTCCAGATTTCTGATACTCTTCTTTAGGTTGACAGAGATGTCATCTACTAAAATGGAAACCAAAGGAAGAATATTTATAAGGAAGATCACATGTACATATAATCTGAGAGGTCCAACCATCCCAGACCCCAAGTAGCTAGCTACCTAAGTATCTGTTTTGAAGGTACTGAATAAATTTTAACAAGGGATTAGTTTGTCTTTAATTTGGACTATGCAACAATTAATATGGTATCATACTATGTATGATATGAATGCAATAATATTATGTAATACAATAATGAATGTAACAAAATTTTCAAATATTTTACTAGTAAAAACTCAAATGAAATTAACATTTATTTTGTAGTTGATGATTAAGAAGAGACAAAAAGGCATTCTCCTTCAAATACCATTTCTCAATAAACAATAGTATTTTCCTCTCACCATCTATCAATTTTACCAAGTCTAAAACCTGGCAGTATACTTAAACATGTTATAATATGCAAGCAGAAAAAATATGCATAGAAGAATGTAACTTAGCTAAAGATCTTCACAGGTGGAGCAAGGGAGCCCTCTCCTGCCAAGGTAACATTGGAATGGATCTAATTCAACCTACCATTACCTACTTAATTTAAGTCTGATCCACTCTAAGTTATCTGACTCTATAAGGGACTGAAAAAGCAACTCCCAGTAACCTTTATAATAGCTAATAAAGATATTATAGTACAAAGCAAACTGCTTGCATATATTATCTCAACTTCTAAACAATTCCATAAGGTGATTACTATACTATTATCATGACCCTTTTACACATGAAGAAATGAAGGCTTACAAAGCTTAAGGACTGCTAGGAAAGAAGTAAGTGGCTGACTTACCAATGAATTTGAATATCATCATTATTTACCCAGTATATGTGCATAGCACCATGCTAGGTTCTGATGACATATATATCAATTTCTATCATTTCAAGAAGCTCATAAGCTAGTAAGAAAATCACAGACTAGAACAATTGAAATCATAGTGTTATAATTTTATACTGACCTATCAATTATGTACTGTTTTAGTGTTTAAAGTGCCTTTTACATTCTTGACTCTCCATAATAAGTTCAAGCAGTACAGAGGCCAAATAGTCACATCACCCCTACTTATATAAGGAAAGTAAAACTCAAGAAGTTCAGTAACTTGCTCAAAGTAACAAGTGACAAATCCAGCAATCAGAAGGCTGTTTGCAGTATTATACCTTCTGTCAAAAAATGAATCAAAACCAATTTTGTTCTTGAAACTCAGGTAAGTTACTATAAGTCCATATCGGAATTCTCCAACCAGATTCCTTTTAACTACTATAAAACAGAATTCTAAACGCATTCACAAATTTAATCCTACATTTGAAACATATGGACAATTACACTTCGTGTTAAAAATGTAAGTAGATATCATACCCTAGTTCCCCTTTACCTTTATCCTTTTTCTTAGAGGTCTCTTCTGCAGAAGATAATCTGGATTTTTTACGTGACGACTCTTCACAATCTTTTTTTATTTTATCCTTCCTTTTTTTGGACTTGACTTCTTTTCTCCTTTACGTTGAACAACATAAAACTAAAGTTAACTTTTTCAACTGACCTTTACAAAAATTAAAACCAATGAGCAAAAAAAAAAAAAAAATCAAAGTACTCGTTTTTATAATGTAATTTACATAATAAGGAACCCTTAAATGAGTCTATAAATACTTTAGGGTAGTATACTATTTAAGACAATTCTGTAAGGTAGTAAAGCCTGAAAACTCTGAGACAAAAAATTATCTTTTATAAGTTCTCTATTCAAACCTGAGAAAACATAAATCATATTTTTACTTACTTCCTTTTTTTATATTCTATTAGCCATTTAAAAGAAAATTACAAAACAATTTCATTTCCCTCTTCATAATTCATAGCTGCCTACGCTTTGAAAAAAAAACACATACAACAAAAAGAAACCACAGTGATACTTCTATACCACCAGTAAACAGAAAATTCTTTTCTTAAGAATAAAAGACTATATTGGGTGGTGCAAAGTAGGTTTACAGTTGTTTGTATGGAAAATAATGCAATGATCAATAAATAATATTACAAGAATAAACTGTTTCACAAACTCACAACTGTGAACATACTTTTGCCACAACCTTTAGTAAAAGTATTATAGAATGAAGGTGTATTGTTAACTCATATGTCTACTTTAGACTTTCATTTTACTGCAGTAGCTTTATTTCTTCTAGGCCAGGCTTAAAAGGTTCTCAGTGCCATGGTTGGCAAGCAATTTATTTTAACTGGTTAAGAAAAGAAATACTTTATAGAAAAATATGATAATGCTGAAACTCAGACAAGGAAAGGAAGACAATGAGACAATGAAAAGGGTTACCTAAAAAAAAATTATAGATTTTCCAAAAATTAAGGTACTTGTGCCAAATATTTAATACTATTTAAGACAATAACCATTTTTTACCTCTTAAGAATCATTTCGAGTTTGAACTGAAGCTTGAAAGTCAAGATCAAATAAACACCTTGGATATCACTCAGTATCATTGATACAGAGGGAAAATAATGGTTTAGGCTATTCAAGTAACCTAAAGATTTCTGCCAATTTTAAAAATTAAAATATTGTTAAGTATTTAATATCTATTTTTAACAGCTGAAATATTAGGGTACATTTATAACATAGCTGATTTTAAAATTAATAGACTAATTCATATGTTATAAAGTTGTAGAATCTTACTCTTAGACTTCCGACTGTCATTCAAAACATGAAACCTGACCTCTGCGATCCTGACGGGCCACACAGACTTCGTCTGAGCATCTTCAGTGCTAAGGACTCCACTTTGTTTGACTTACCATATGCCAGGCTCTGTGCCAAGCACTTTAGATCCACTTTCACCTAATCTCCACAACAGCCTTAGTACCCTCATTTTAGAGATGATAAAACCTGAGTCTCACAGAGGTTAAGCAGCTTGCCCACAAAGATGATCAGTAAGTGGAGTAGCGGAGAGGAATACACAGGGGACTAATTTCAAAGCCCATGCTCTTATGCATACTGCAGATTACAGAACACTGATGCCGCTCCCCCACTCAGTATGCAGACACGTCCTGACAAACTCCACTTAAAAGTGTAAATCAGACATGAAAATTACATTATGACGATCTGCTTTATAATATAGCTTCTAAGAATATTACAGTATCTGAACATTGACTCCAAACTAAAAATTCTATGATCTGTCTACCACCCTGCACAGGCTTTCACATTTAAAACTGCTTGGCTAGAGGAAGGCCTGGCAACCTTCCACTTCCCTCATCTATATGGTCATAAAGTGATGCTAGATGTTCTATATAATCAACTAATTAAACCATCAACCACTCACATTTACATTTAGACCTCCAGTGCAGGTAAATGACTACACCCAAGACTATGAAACATTAACAACAGCATTTTAAAAGATATTACCTGTGATGAAAATTTAATTTAAAGGAACATTCTTGACATAATCCTAAAAAAAAAAAAGTTACACAGCTGAATATGAATAACTGCACTGCTACTGTACCTTCAGTATCATAAATTATCATTTTTTCTCATATCTTTTATAAGAAACAATCTTATGAAAACAATCCAATTCTTCCCACCTCAAAAAATGTATATAATAAATAGGAGAATGCTTGAAGAACTGACATCCTAACATTACTTTAGAAAAATATGCTCTCAATTTATTCTAAAAGCAATAGGGAGCCTCATATCAAAGACATCTAATAACAGTGTGGGTATAGTCATTTCCAATGAAGTGCTCTACAAGCTTTCAAATGGAAGAGCTTCTCAAAAACTCCACAATTGTGGCCTCTTCTTTTTTGCCTTAATCTCAGTTCACACTAGTTTTTTCCTCATGAGCACTTCCATGAGGAATTCAGAAACCAGTCTGTGTTGGTGTGTATTAAGCAGCATTTGGGGAAATTCATGACTTGTTTCTGGAGCAGGCAGAACACTCTGAGGGCACCTTTATTTAAGACTCAGAGAAGGCTGTTAACATAATGGAGAGAAGATGCTGACATACCGGCTTAGGGGGAAAAATGAATGAATGACAAAATCTAAAACATATATTAAGAGAAATTACTATATTCTGGGGTATAACCCTAAGCTTTTAAGACTGATATCAAGAACAATTATGCCCTCCTAAAATTTTTTCTTTATTGACACAAAGAGAGTACATTTATTTATTATCCCTACCACAACAGTGTGGCTATCAGCTAATGTGAGATTTTACAATGCCTTTTCTGACACTATGCATCTCACTTTACATTGGTGACATGCTCAAGTCAATGAGAAGAGATCTTTGCTTTACAAATGGAATTCCATTTGGCATTAGAACTGTTTCACCTAAATGTCACCATAATGCTGAGAATATAACTTTTAGGTTCAAGCATTGTTTATGACTTTGGGAAGCTCTAAGAAAAAGAGCACTTACAGGAAGATACATTAAAAAATTTTAACTGAAACTTAAATTAGTGTGTATATATATATTTTCATGTAGCAATATTTTTTTGTTCAAGTACAGTTTTCTGTCGTTTACCCCCACTCCAGCCCACCCCCCCACTCTTCCCACCTCCCTCCTGTTTCCACCCCCCCTTGTTATTGTCCATGTGTCCTATACAGTTGTTCCTGTAAAAAATTAGTCAATGTACTTTTAAATCCAAATTATTAGATAAACTTTGAAGAAACCAATCATATCCAACCTTGAATCAACTTACTTAATTTAACAAGTGCATTTCTCTTTTCTCCATGCTCAATATAACCAAAATTAACTTCCCAACTCTTTAAGTTATCTTTTTCATCACAATATTTATTTCCACAGAAAAACTGGCCTGCAAAAAAAGAAGGAATTATTAGCTATAATAGGTGGTGATAATATTTATCTATGTAATCTGGTATCTGAAATTAACTCTTAACATACATTAATAAACAACTGATCACAATAATTATAAATGCTCAACAAATGTGTATACAAGTATCAAATTAAAGAGCTGAATGAACTGCTTAAAAAAAATTAGTCACGGAATTTTTGCTCAATAGATAAGTTGACTGTTTGTATTTACATACAGAAGTTTTAGTGACTCCCTATTAGGGAATCTTACACTTTGGAAAATGGTAACACTAAGAGTGTATTCACTAACCCCCTAAAAGAATAAATGTATTTTCCAAAGTACATGCACATACACCTAGGTGAATCCTTTTCAATATTTAATAGTAGTATCAAAATTGATATTTTTAAGTATAACATAATGGTATTTAAGTATCAGCATAAAATGGCATTTAAAGCACATTTTAAAATGCTAGCACTTTGAGATAAGTAGAATAAGTAACCAAACCCGATGCTCTAAATTTTAGAATCACTTGACATAAAATCAATACTGCATTATCATGTCAACTGTACATTAAATACTTTTGCAAAAAAGGAATTAATACTGATGATCCAAAAGGGAAAAAAAGGCAGCACAATTATTAACTTCGACAGAAAAAGAAAATCAAACTTTCATTTCTACAAATAAAAAATTTGTATTTCATGTGCTCGCTTCGGCAGCACACATACTAAAAAATTTGTATTTCAATAATTTGCACCAACAGGAACCTGAATTTTTTTCACAAAAAAAATTACAAAAATTTTTTCACACACAAAAAATTATCAAAATAAATTAAAAAAATTATCAGTCCACAAGGCTGATAACTTTTCTAAACAGGCACTTTTTACTTACTCCAAATGAACACTTTATTAAATCTTTGTACTTTGTTAGTAATGGCTCTATTGCTAAAATAGCAACAAGACTGTAACTTTATAAGTCACAGCAACAGCAGTTTCTCCCCTTCCCAACTAATCCTTTCTTCAGTTACATGAATTTAGAGAATGTCCATCAGTTTTTTTAAAAGGCAGCATTGTTTACCATCAACTGAAAATTCCATTCAATAAAAGTACAAAATTTTAAAATTGGGATAGACATTTTAAATATATCTCACTGGTTTAGGTAAAAACAAACTAAAATGTAATCTTAAGAAAAGTTTTAAAAGCTTTATATTTATTATTTTCCTTGTCCTCTAAAGTAGCTCCAGGGCTGATATTAATTACATAAAGAAAAAAATTCCTACTGTTTAATTGCATAAACAATTTCACACCTGAAATAGATATCCAAGTTGTGGAAGATGTGTATATGAACCACAGTGATGTTATAAATGTTTAATCATTTTTTAAATGTAACCTTTCATTTTCAGTTAAAGATTTTTTAAGTTATTAGTTTAAAATTAATTCCTGCCCTGGCTGGTGTGGCTCAGTAGATTGAGCGCTGGCCTGTGAACCAAAACGTTGCCGGTTCAATTTCTAGTCAGGACACATGCCTGGGATGTGGGGCAGGTCCCCTGTTGGGGGTGTGCAAGAGGCAACTATGTATCTCTCACACATTAATGTTTCTCTCTCTCTCTTTCTCCCTCCCTTTTACTCTCTCTAAAAAAGTAGATAAAAATCATGAAAAAAATTATTTCCTAAATGCTCCTCTGTAGTTTTCAGAACATAACATTACTTGTTACTGCAATTAAAAATGTGATTATCAATTGAGAATTTTACAGCACAATACAGTACAGAGATATTAAGTATTCAGAAAAAAATTTATGAATAGATTACAACAATGCATAGAAAAAGCATTTACTGATTGCCCAACAAGTATCTGGCTTCTGCTGTAAGACTAAATATTTAGGCTCAATCTCAGTGACTCCCCCCAAATTTTTCTAGGTTCAAAGTGATATTTAACTTCTACTTTCAAAATGTGGATTTGACTGAAGACAGTAACTTTATCATTATTCAAAAAAACTGAAAAAGAGAAAAACTCAAGCATTCATCCATTGATAGTTAATTTGCTATAAAATCTTTAAACATTTTCTACTTATCCTCAACTGAATGTTCTAAAAGCAAAAATTCTAAAAGTAAAAATCTAAAGCATTATATTATTTTGACCTCTTCCAGTAATATATCCTGAATATACCTTTTCTAATTTTACTCATATAGATAATCACTCACTACATATCTTAGGAATACTCTTACCCAGTGACTTCAATTCAATAATGTAACAAAATAACCTTCTCTTATTAAAAAGTAAAATTAAAAAATTACCTTTTCCTGAAATTACTTCTTTTTCTACTCTCCACCTAAATCCAAACTGACAAGAAAAAATCACATTTATGCCAGAGTATTTATACACATAAATCTAAACATGGAGCCCACAATTAACATAATTACATTTATCGACCTAAAAATTAACTTAATTCCCATCACAATAGCTTTTTCTCTCTTTATAGGATTCCAGGTACTTAACAATACATTTGAACAATTACCAACTTATCTGTTATGAATCAATTTTCTTTACTTTTAAAAGTTAAGACGCCAAGCTACAAGACATCTCCATTAATTAAAATATATATATATAACCTGTTTTATAACACTGACAAAAAACAGAAAAAGAGGCCATGGTACAGTAACTAGGCAGTATTCTCAGTGCAAGAGTGCACAGCCTTTGGATTTGGACTATTTGGGTTTACTTCTCGGCTCTACCACTTAACAGCTCTGTAACACTGAAGACGTTATTTAATCTATTTGTTCCTGTTTCCTCACATGTAAAGTAGAGTCATAGAAGTCTCTACCTCTTTTGGTTAAGACATTTAAATGGGATAATATATATCAAGTATTTAGAACAGCACCTGGTGCATAGTATACCACTGGTTAGCAAGCTACCACCCACAGGCCTGTTTTTATAAAGTTTTACTGAAACTCGACTGCACCCACTCATGCAGGGGTGGCTGTTTTCCCACAACAACAGCATAGTCATGAGCAGGAAAGTGTAAATGGTACCAGTCTGGAGCCCTAAGGCAGACAGTTGTAAGCATTCCCTTCAGATTCCTAAAAACAACTTTTTTTTTGGCTAAAAATGATTTTTCTCCACTGCCTTTTAAGATCTTTCATGTTCATATGCTAATTTATCATAATTCTAGTTAGTAGTGTAGTTTTCTATTCAGTTTACTTTTATAATGGTTAAAAGCTCAGCTCCAATAAATGGTGATGGAAGGAGACTTGACTTGCAGTGGTGAACACAAAATACAATATACAAATGATGTATTATACCACTGTACCCCTAAACCTATAAAATTTTATTAACCAACATTGCCCCAATAAATTCAATTCAAAAAATAGCTAAGCTCCACAATTATACAGACGCAAAGCAAGCTCTACCATTTGTTAACTGATTCTATGGCCTTGGGAAAGGTACATAACCTCTCAATATGTTTCCTTATTATAAGAATCCTAATCTCATAGGTTGCTGTATTAAGAAAGAGAATTCAGATGAAGTATTCAATGCCTGGTTAACTTGGTCATTTTTATTTTTTTAAATCACTTATTATTTGAATTACGCAATCTTGTATTTTAAATGTAAATGAGGGCACAAAATATTTCAAAATATTCTAATTAAAACCCAAAGAAAATAGCCCTGTCTGGGTAACTGATTTGATTAGAGCATCATCCCAAAACACCAAGATTGCGGGGCAGAACACATACAGGAATCAGCCTTGGCCAAATGTCTCAATTGGTTGGAGCACTGACCTGAACCAAAAGGTTGTGGGTTCAATCTCTGACCAGGGCACATACCTAAATTACAGGTTCAATCCCAGGTCAGGGTGCATGCGGGAGGCAACCATCAATGTTTCTGTCACATCGATATTTCTCTCTTCCTCTCTCCCTCCCTCTCTCTCTAAACTCAATGAAAAACATACCCTCTGGTGAAGAAAAAAAAGGTTCAACTAATGAATGCATAATAAGTGGAACAACAAATCAATATTTTTCTAATAAAAAACAAAAAAATAATATTCCCAGTCTACAAAAAAAGAAACAAAAAATTCAAAATAACTGTTTAATTTTATTTTTAAACCTACACATGTATGTGAGGATTGCTTTCCATCCAACTTATGTTGGGATATCCATTAAAACACAAATATATAACGTAACAGTTTCCAAACTTTTCTTTCATTCACTAATCTGTTCAGCAAATAACTATTAAGCAACTCCTTACTGGGCTAGGCACTCTGCTGAGGATAAAGGGTCATTAAAATAGTGTCTGTCACCATAAACATTTTAACCTTATAGGGAGATAAGAAATGTCACAAGAAACTGCAATATGTCCTACTGGTAAAAATTATGGAGGTTTTGCCTCAGTATGCTTTTGTATTCTTTCCTGAAAATTTAAATTTTCCTGCTGATAGGCTGGATTAAAAACTGGAGTTACTCAGGACTTGAGTAACTCAAGTTACTCTTCTTCTTACTCTACCTTCTAGCACAAAGAGCTCACACATGGAAGCAATGAGAGAGAAGGATTCTAAGTTCCTGACAACACAAGGTTCCATGCCATCTACTTGGACTTTTAAGTAAAAGAAAAATAAACTTCTACCTCATTTAAGTCAATGTTCTTTGGGAGTGCTGCTGTTCATTGCAGCTGAATCTAATCTCAATGGGAGCCAAACAAATTCTCAATGATGAAAGAAAACTAGGAAATGGAGGTGTGGGGCAAAGGTTGGAATTCACTAAAAATGCCTAAGTATCTGCTACATATAGTAGGCACTGAACTAAAAGCTGGTTAATCAAAAAAGGATAAAACACTGCCTTTGGGTAAGTAAAACTGTGAGAATGCATTCTTGCAAGGAAATCAAAGGCACTAGTCTGTCTCTAACACCTCAAGCACTGTGCACCAAAAAGCAGTCATCACCTTTCCCCTTGTGTGGGGTAAGGGGTAGATGGGAAATCTCTGTATCTTCCCCTCGATTTTGCTATGAACTTAAAATTGCTCTAAAAATAATAAAGTCTTAATTTTTTAAAAAAGATCCCCCTCCCTCCATATTTTATATTTCCCTAGTCTTCAAAACCTGAGAGTCATATTGACTTCTTGCACTAACCCTCACATCTGACTATTCATCATGTTCTAATAGGAAAATATAACTTGTTTGAAGATTATCATCTTTAAAGTATGATTTCCAGTAACATCCTGTGTACTTTCAAATGGAGAATACAAGTATTTAATTATTTACTATGTATACATTTTCCCCTTAACTGTTTTGTTCTTTTTTTTAAGAGCAGACACCATGTGTTAATCCATGACACTCAGCCCAGTCCTCAATAAATACTGAAAAGCAAGCAACACATGAGGCATGGTTGAAAAGCCCACGTGAAAAGCCCACTTTGTCACGTGCTCTTAGAAGGACCTATTTTTCACATTCAACTTGCAGTGTAGTAACTTGAATTAACTCCAACTGTTCTGGTGCTCTTTGGATTCAATATGGTGATAACTAGTACAGATATGAGAGCTAGTTCATAAGAAACTGAGGAAGTCTTTGGGATACACCAAGTGCGTGGGTTTGTAAACAGGGTTATAAAAAAATAGACACTAGCCCTGGCTGGCGTAGCTCAGTGGATTGAGCGCGGGCCTGTGAACCAGAGTATCGCGGTTTGATTCCCAGTCAGGGCACATGCCTGGGTTGCAGGCCAGTTCCCAGCAGGGGACTCACGAGAGGCAACCACACATTGATGTTTCTCTCCCACTCTTTCTCCTTCCCTTCCCCTCTCTCTAAAAGTAAATAAATAAAATATTTTAAAAAGTTAAAAAAAAAAAGAAAAAACATTAAAAAAAAATAGACACTAATACTATCTAATAGAATACTGTAAAGCAATCCACATATTAAAGGCACTAATGAAATATTAAACCAACCACGGTTCTGAGATTTAAAAATTTAAATAAAAACAAAATCCTTATGATAAATAAACAGGTTGTCTTTCTTAATATAAATGTACATTACCCAAACATAGATTTATGCAACATTCCCTCCTCATTTCAAACTGAGATCATATGTTCTTGGGTCATCTTCTCTAGCTATAAATGTGAAATTTGAGATAGGAATAAAAATCCCTTTAATATTAACTAAAGTAAGATGTAAAGTGAGAATGAAAATCCTCTGTTATAATTAGCACTGATTAATTTTACTAGAGTAGACATTTACATAACAAAAGATGTACATCTGCCTCTTTATAAATGGTAATCAATTTGGAAAATACAGCCTATCAATTTCATCTGTCAAACAAGACATCATTCTGCCATGTCAAATCATTTATTATAATCACTGGTGGCTGTAGATTAGACTCATGATAAATTAGGATCCAGTAGCCACTTGTGTTTAATTTTAGACTTTTTTGCCTCAGCTCACAAAGAAGCACCCTTAACTGAGGGGCCCTTTATAAATTCCACAGCTGCAGAGGTTAAAATGGTCCAAGTGATACTTCATAGAAACAGGGCAATTTAGACTAGAACAGCATCTTTAAAAAAATAAAGTGGGGCATGACAATGTAATAAGAAGAAACAATACACTTGTATAAGAACCTTCTTTGATAAACATCTGGAAGGCGTACCTTATTTTCTCTGTATCTACTGAGATCTGCTATGCAGTATTCCTTGAATAATTTATCATAGTATTTCTTTGCAAGTCTCTTCTCCCTAGATTTATAAAAAATACAAATCTTCATTCAGAAATCCAATCACAGATTGGTACTTGGAAGCAACGTCAAATAAATAACACATGATATAACAATTACTGTTTTAAAAGAGGTCTATTACATACATGTGCATAGAATATCTGAATATTAACTATTACAGTTGTTCTCTCTGGGAGAAGACCTGGAAGACTTACAGTCAGACATGGGAAAGAGTCTTACTCTTCACTTTTTACCCTTTGTAATGTTTGGATTTTTAGAACCATTTTCAGGTATTGCTTTTTCCCAAAATATTTAAAAAATTTAAAAAGTATCATATTACAGGACAACAATATTTTTTAAGTGTGTTTTAAAGACAAAGTCAAGTAATAAGTCAGTTAAAACTGCTAAAAATTATCAAAAGAATCAAACTAGATTCAGTAATCTGAGGAATGGTTTTATGTCCTCAATTCAGAACTGTTCTGCGCAGGACAGGAGAGACAGGATGAAAGCACTTGATGCATTATGCGCCGATGGCTAAAATTACCAGTTCATGTCCATTTCATCTTCCTCATTCCATAGGAATCTATGGTTTTCTCGTATAACATCCATGTCTGTCTTGTCACTTTCCCTGGAAGATAAAATCATTTAAATTTAATGTAAACACAGAATTAGTCAAATTTAGGAGGTCAAACAGTTCTGTGATATTTTTGAACACCTGAGTAAAAAATAATACAAAAAGATAAAGACAGTTTTATTTGTATGTATATATGCACATACATTTGTAAAAACAATTTCAGTACTTTTTCAAAAGGTACTGTGAAGAGTCTATACAGAAGCAACTTAAATGGATGAGAAATCCATCCATTTCTGGCACCAGTTTCAGTTATACACATGGTGCTAAAAAAATCAAAATTAGGATAAGAAATCTGAGTAAATATTAAATAGAAGAAAAAATGTATGACAGTAAGTTTCAGAGTCTAAAAAAAAGTACCACTACCCTATGGAGATTTAATTTTTTTTTTAAATAAAGTTTTCTATACCTCATTTTTCTACAGCTTCCCAGGAAGACTGAGTAAGAAAGAGGGTTGAAGGGTATGATGTTCCTAGATACCACAACAGCCTGAGGGTAGAACAAGGGATTGTTGGGAAGTATTACAGACCAAACTGAGAGGGAGATTAGTCTGGGATAGATGATGGTATAAAGTTTTTTAGGGCTCTCCCAATTCAGAAAATTGTTAAGTCAGGGGAAAAAAACACACAAAACCAAGAGGCTCTGATGAGAAAAGCCTCAAACATAGGAAGCAATTTCACGTGTGAGAAATATTAGAGTGAGGTTTCTTGCTTGCCATACCTTTACCTTTTTATCCTCACCCGATGATACACTTACTGATTTTAGAGACAAGGAAAGGGAGAAAGAGAGAGAGGGACAGAAACATTAATGTGACAGAGAAACACTGATCAGTTGCCTTTCTCAAGCACCCTGACTGGGGACTGAACCTGCAACCCAGACATGTGCCCTGACTGGGAATTGAACGTGGGACCTTTTGGTTTATGGGATGATGCTGCAACCAACTGAGCCACACCAGCCATGGCTGCCCTACCTTTTAAAAGGCAATCCCAAACACTGAGGTTTAACAAGTTCATCCTCACAAAACAAAACAAAACAAAACACCCAAAGCTGTATAATCAGCGACATGTGTATTCCTCACATAATTGTTATTGACAAGGGCTACCTACTGCCAGAGGAATGGGGTCAACGAGAAGCTACTTAGATGGATGCTATGGATGGTCCTCCACCCTATGATATAACAAGGAAACCAGAACGGAAAGCAGAGGAAGATCACAGAATCAGAAAACACAGTAGCGGTGGGTCTTTGAAAGATCTCCACAGCTACCTCCAATTCTACATAAACTTCATGACACTTACCGTGATCGCCTGAAATCTTCTTTTTTGCCACCATAGTATAAAATATAATCATTTACAAACTTTGTATGCCTTTGATACTGAAATGCAAAAATTAAGGATTTTACTTGTTCAACAGTTGAACTATGTCTAAGATATATTAGTGAGTAGGAATAAAAAGCATAGTATGAGTCTAGTTTTTTAATATGCAAATATACACTATACATGCTTATAAATTCAAAGGTAGAAAAGGTAAATATTAAACTATTAAGAGTGAATATTATAGAGTACAGGGATTTTTACTTTATAAGCAATATAAATGTTTATATTGTTTTAAACATTTTCCAAGCATATACTACTCATGATAAAATATGTATCTGGGGAGAAAGTTTCCTCTTCTATTGCTGAACTACATATGGCCTCATACCACCATTCATTTTAATCATCACAATATGAAAAATTATAATTTCTAAAGTTAAAGGTAAGGACTACAGTTTACCTTTCACTATTATAAAATATAATTTGGCTATGTATTCCAATAATAATAAAGCCTCTAAAAATATAAGACACAACTTTTACAACATTAAATTCTAACAACAGGCTTTCAAAAAAAGTAAATATAAGAAATCAGATATTTTTGTAAATTTTCTTTTAATATTCAAAGATCCACAGTCATGTTTATTTTCAATTAAGTATAATAAGATGCAAAACTTTTTCTTTTGAAAAGCTTATGGTGCTCTCTCTACCAGTGAACATGCACATACTAGAACTGACCTTCTCTGTAATACTGTCTGTGACTGACTACATCCTACTATATTACAGATGGTAACTTAATTGATTACAATATATTCTAACAGAGTCTCAAATCTGAATATACTTCCCAAAGTGGAAACAAAACAGTTAACATCTCAGAAAAAAGAGAAGAGCCAACACTGTAATCAAAACAGCCTGGTACTGGCATAAAAACAGGCACATAGACCAATGGAACAGAACAGAGAGCCCAGAAATCAACCCACTCTCTACAGTCAATTAATATTTGACAAAGGGGGCAATAACATAAAATGGAGTAAAGATAGCTTCTTCAACAAATGGTGTTGGGAGAACTGGACAGCTACGTGCAAAAAAATGAAACTTGAGCACCAACTTACACCATACACCAAAATAAATTCAAGGTGGATAAAAGACTTAAATATAAGCTGTGACACTATTAAAGTTCTAGAGGAAAACATCAGCAAGAAAATCTCAGATATTTCACGCAGCAACATTTTTACTGATATGTCCCCTAGAGCAAGGAATATAAAGGAAAGAATAAACAAATGGGATCTCATCAAAATAAAAAGCTTCTGCGTGGCTAAGGAAAACAGTATTAAATTAAAAAGACAACCAACTGTATAAGAAAATATATTTGCCAACGATACCTCAACAAAGGTTTAATTTCCAAAATATACAAAGAACTTACACAGCTCCACTCTAAGAAGACATCTAACCCAATTAAAAAATGGGAAAAGGACTTGAACAGACACTTCTCCAAGGATGACATACAGAACATTCAGAGACACATGAAGAGATGCTCAATATCGTTAGCTATCAGAGAGATGCAAATTAAAACCACAATGAGATACCACTTTACACCGGTCAGGATGGCTATCATAAATAAAGCAACAAACAACAAATGTTGGAGAGGTTGTGGAGAAAAGGGGTCCTTAGTTCACTGTTAGTGGGATTGCAGACTGGTACAACCATTATGGAAAACAGTATGGAATTTTCTCAGAAAAATAAAAATCCACCTGCCTTTTGACCCAGCAATTCCACTGCTAGGATTATATCCTAAGAATCCTAAAACATCAATTTCAAAGAACCTATGCACCACAATGTTCATAGCAGTACAATTTACAATAGCCAAGAGTTGGAAGCAACCTAGGTGCCCGACGGTAAATGAATGGATCCAAAAATTGTGGTACATATACACAATGGAATTCTATGCAGCAGAGAGAAAGAAGGAGCTACTACCCTTTGCAACAACATGGATGGAACTGGAAAGCATTATGCTGAGTGAAATAGGCCAGGTGCTGAAAGACAAATACCATATGATCTCACCTTTAACAGGAAGCTAAACATCAAAATGAACAAGCAAGCAGAATAAAAACAAAGACACTGAAATAGATGACAATGGGACAGTGACCAGAGGGGAGAGGGGAGAGGGAAGGGAATTTAAGGGGGAAGGGGGGAGGGATTTGGGGGAACAAGTGTGAGGGATGCAGGGATGAGGGCTGGGGGGGGTAGGGATAGGGGGGAGGTGGGGAGCACGGGACAGGGGGTGGGCTTGGATGGGAGAAATAGACAAAAAACTGTACTTGAAAAATAACTAAATTAAAAAATAAATAAATTTTAAAAATAAAATAAAATAAAATGAAACAAAAAAAGAGAAGAGCCAAATATCTGGACATACGGGTTCTACCTCTTCGCCTAGTACTAACTGGTCATGTGACCGTAGCAAGTCACTTAAATCTTTTAGAGCTGGGGTCAGCAAACTTTTTCTGTAAATAGTAAACATGCAGGCCATATGGTCTCTGCTACAGCTGCTCAGCTCTGCCATTTTAGTATGAAAGTAGGTACAGATAACACCTAAATGAATGAGCATAGCTGTGGCTCCAAAAACACTTATTTCTAAAACAGGTGTTGGATGGGACTTTACTCCCAGGAAGACGGAGTAGATAAAGATGTACTGCTCTCTATTCCTCCCACTAAGAACAGCCAAATCCCTTGATTACACGAGTTTACTTAAAGAAACATAAGAAGACTCTGAAAGGTAGAGAGAAGGCATATCAGCTATGGACCTCAGGACTCATGGTATATGTGGTAGTGAATTATCCTTCCTGAATTTTTTTTTTTAGAGGGAGGGGAAATGAGAATGAGAAAGAGAGGGAGAGAACCATCAATGTGTGGTTGCCTCTCAGTAGCCCCCTACTGGGGAACTGACCCACAACCCAGGCATGTGCCCTGACTGGGAATCGAACCAGCGACCCTTTGGCTTGCAGACCAGCACTCAATCCACTGAGCCACACCAGCCAGGCCTCTTTTTGCCTTTTTCTTTCTTTTTTTTGCAATTGTTATAATAATTTATTAGGGGATGTTTAAGTATATTTAAAATGAAAATGTATGAACAACAGCATATAAATTATATTTGTATTAAAGGAGACTTTAAAGCAAAAAAACCATTACTAGAAAGATATAGGCATACTTCAAAATGACAAAAGTTTATGTTCTTTAATAAAAGATAATAATTCTACTTTAAAAAAAATTTTTTTTTTGTATTGTTGTTTAAGTACAGTTGCCTTTTTGCCTTTCAATCCCAGGTTTGGAGATGAAGAAAGCTAGCAACCTGGAAATACCAAAAATACAAACAAAAAAGAAAAAAGTTCCAAAAGCCTTCTCTAACTGAATATCCAAGAGAGAGGCAGTCTAACAAGACAGATAACTTTTAGACAATAACCATGCTACTCCAGCCAAATACTCCAGAAAAACGGTGTCACGCCTCTGCTCGTTCCAGAGAAGCAGACCTAGACTCTCACCCTCCCCAGGCTTTTAGATGCCCCAACACCCTCCGATGATCAAAGAAGGCAGAGAAGATGTTGAAAGGCTGAAGGAACAAGGGGCAGATATAAGCAACTTGGTTAACAGATAAGAGGAATAAATAAACTGCTGACAAGAAAACACCTATAACTTAAAGTATCAGAAACAGTAACAGAGTGAAACAGATTACTATAGGTGGGAGGGAGTGTACCTAATTGACAGTCTCCTTCTCCCAATCCTGACCGTTAAGGAATACATACCTAGAAATACTTCAGGTCTTGCTTGGCCTCTCTCTTTCTCCAATATTCAGTTACACAAAAGGCCAGTGGTAGTAGTCTCTGTAATGAGCCACGGTCTTACCAAAAAGTTGAACTGAGACATGCCTATAGCAGGGAAGTAGGGTACGGTATGTTGCTTAAAGGGAGCCCAACTCATGCCTGAGAGCTCAAGCCAGAGCAGATAGAACAGTCCACAGACAGACCTATACTTAATACAAGTCTTACAAAGACTTCAGCAAAAAACCAGGTAGGAAAAGAATAAGAGTTAAAATGAGACAGAAGAGTATAAAAATGAGAAATGTTGAGAGCTTGGTAAAAACAGGTTAGAAAAAATACTGGCAAGTTCATGAACTTTGTAAACCTATTTAGAGAACATTTGGAATGTTTTACTATTTTTTGTCTCTAAATCTTTTTTCATATATTAGTAAAAGAGAACTGTACTCAAAAGCATAAGTAGCAAAATTCCACATCAATAAAGACTTATCTTTAAAAATAAAATATCAATCTATCTGACTTTACAAGATTTCATAAAATAAAAAAGTAAAATTTAAAAGTCTATTAGTTATTGAAAACCTAGAAGTATAAAAAGGATACAGCATCCATAGCTATGAGATGAAACCTTCTATTTCTTGCTTCTTCCCTGTTAAGACAAATTTCATTTTAAGCAAATTCAAGTATCTACATTCTAATGAATATAATCAAATCCCCAAGTCTCTGAGTTCACAAAAACACCTTAAACCAAAAAAAGTAAAGTACAATGAAATACCATACCTATCCAGCAATTCTGCTGCAACCTGTTTATGGACCACCTTTCCATGTTTTTCTTTCTGAAATGGCTTTTGGAGCAGTAAATCATCTTCATCTGTCCTGGTTTATAAGAAGAAAAACTATTAAACAAGTTTAATTTTTTCAAAGAAATTTCCCATTTTTTAATGTTTTCACAACTGGAACATGTTTTAAACATTTAAGTCTTAAAAAGGAATCACAGATCTTTAGTGAGACATTTTATGTCTCCTTAAATTGCTTAATTAGTATCTTAATTTTATTTTTATACCTAGAAAATGGAGAGGATGAAAATGACAAATGTTCAAATCCTGGTGCCTGACCACCTAGGTTTCTGGGTTCAAATTCTGGCTGTCATTCACTATCTTATTTTTTTTCACCATCTTAATCTTAAATAAAAATAAGTTATTTAAGTTCTTTGTGCCACAACCTCCCTGCTTGTAAGGATAATGAAGCTTTTGGTTACTGATAATATGGAACAAGAAGGGCCAAGTCTAGATAACACAGACTGTAGATGATGAGCCCTAATTACAGACATATATAACCCTAGAGCAGAGAAGACTGACCAACTAGATTTGCTCAAATTCTATTCTTACAAAGGAATATTTTTGAATAAAAAATCTTGAAAATGTAAAGTACCATAAAACATAATTTCTTATAATTATTTCTATTCTATTGGTTATCCATGAAGACTGAAAAATGTTCAGTCTCAATTATTATGCCTAATATATTGCTCTCAGTGTAAAATAATAAACCAATTCTTATAAGTTTGATTAATCAATCAACCACTCCTAATAGATAAAAGCAAGGCTCTAAGCACTAAAAGCTGAAAACCTCACCCTTAAAGACAGCTACTCCACCAAAATGGAGTAGCCTCATCATAAGGCCCAGAGTGTATCTGTTGACAGATCTTGTCCCTTCCAATAAAAACTTCATGAGCTCCTTCCCTTGATCATTTAGCCGGCCCATTCACAAAATCGTAAGAATTGTGCCATATCACAATTTCACACTCCACACTAACCTCATTTTGAAGTCAAATCCTAGCAAAGGGACCACCAAACTATCTGTCATAGTTAAAGCCATATCTTAGCTATGCCATCTGCAAGTAAAAAGTCCATCTCCAATTTATGCATCTGTAAATCCCTCCACAGCATAAACATTTATTTTTCACAAAATGGATCTCAAATTTTTTAGTCAATTCATTACAATTCACTGAAGTGAAATCCCTTCACATCATTGTCTTCACAAACACAATCCAAAAGCTTTCAATATTATTTATAACTCATCTCAATCTAGAAAGGATTTGAAGCACAGATCAATAAAAAATTACCCTTTTTTCCTTTTGCTAGATTCTCCACAGTGTTCATCATCACTAAAATCAGAGTCATAGCCTCCATGACCATGCATCTGTAAAGTATAAAGTCAATTACTTAGCACTTAAGCTGTCCCTTGTTCAGGAAACAGAATAGTTCAAAAGGAAGTTATATTTTAAAGACACAATAGTTTTAAAGGACAGTGGTGGGTATGTCACTGTCCATGGACCATCCACACATCCAAAACTTTCATTCACTTTGAAATAACAAACTTAACCTTCAGAAAATGAATAAACATTTTTTACCATTATGCCAACACATTAGTTTTTTACCTTCTTCCATTGAAAACTAGGTCTAGAAGCAGCTATGTGACTGCACACAAAGGTCAACAGTGCTTCACTTTAACTCTGAGTACTAACACTTGCAGTGTATTTATCATCAACTTTGTTCCAGGCATTACGCGAGGTCTTTTACAAACACTGCTTCTAATTCTGCAATTTAGAAACTATTATCTCCATTTTAGAGGTGAAGAAACCAAGGGCAAATGAAGTAAAGTAAATCACTTACATAGAGCAAATAGGTGGCTAAGCTGATTTACTCGATTCTTAAGCCCATGACTTCCAACTACTCCAAACTGCCTCTCTGGAATTTGCTAACACTTTGATTATTACACTCCATTAGACTTACTGCATTTGTGAACAGTACATTATTAATTGTTGAAAATGTGCCTCTTTTTTCAACATATGCAGATATTTCATTTTTCTTTTAAAGGTTTTTTTCTAGGTAAATCACCTTGTCCTTTGGCCTAGTCAACCTTATTTTCTTTTTTTTTTTAATTGAAATTCTTAGAAATACTGAAAGACCTTAACTGTCACTAAGTTGTGTTGGAAGCAGCTCCTGGTTTCAGCATTATGTTGAATTTGGGGATGCATTATTTGCATATTTGATGTCATAAACACCCAATTCACATGGCTGCAAGAAACCGGTGCAAATCAAATGATATATCCAACTTTTTAAACTTTAATATTCACCGCAACAAGTACAGCAGGAAAAAGAGGAAAGAACCCCCTAAACTTCATTGCCCTAGATGTAAGACAAAAGATATTTCAGCTCTCTCTCCTGCCCCACAAAATTCTAGAGGAAGGCACCGGCCAAGGTTGAAAGGTTATAACGCTACAGCTCCAACTCCACCCTCGCATACATCTGTCTTCACCTTGCAGATACACCTGGATCTCACCCCCTCCATCACATCAATTCCTTGTTCCACCTATCCCATCTGTTCAAGCCATACCAGCCCCTTACTCCTTGTCTAACGACCTCACTTGCACATCTCGATGGGGGACAACCGCTGGGTGCTGCTTAGAGGTATGTTCTGGGATGCTAAGTAAGAGGTATGCAGGATCCTGACGCTGCGCATTTCATTTGTCTTTCTTTGAACAGGTTCTACAACCTGTGAGCCTCAGTCGCCCCCTTTACAAAAGAAGGCTAGTGAAGAGTAGCAGTTTCGCAGGACTGGAAATTGAATTACCACATACAAAGGGTTTTAGAACAGTGTCTGGCACAGTAAAACCCCGTAAATGTTAACTCTTAGTACCATCATCATCTTGTTACCACACACCACGACACCACCTCTTCCCCGTTCTCCCTCTCCCATTTCTTTTTCCTCTGGCGGCTTCATCCATCCCATACCCTCTCCACTCAGTGGTTGCACAAACATGCTCTCACTCACTTCAGGTTATGAATAAACTGACAGGGACCGAGAAAAATTCGAGAAAGGAGACGCCGACCGTCTCCAGAATCTATCAAAATAAAAATAAAAAAAAAAAGATAATCAACAAGTAGCATATGAGATACAAGTTCCAGGTCCTTCTATCCGATACCAAATACGCTCACGGCCCTTCTCAAATACCCCTTCCCCACATCCCCGCTTTGCCAAGCTCGCCGGAAGAGTAGTCTTTGTCTGTTTTCTTGGCGGCTGCAGCGACGACCCACGGCCTGAACGAGCCGCTGCAGGTCCGCCCCAGTCGGTGGAGGCCACACAGCCCCGCCAAGGCCAAAGGAGCCACTGCTAGCTCCCCACCTCTCCCTACGGGTCCTGACAGGTCGCTGCTTCCGGTCTGGCTCGGCCGCGCGTCACACTTAAATGGTACCGTCCTCGGAGGTCCCGAATTTGTGCTACTGGCAGAACATTCCCGAGAAACAAAGGCGGTGGAGGATCAAGGCCGGAAGGGGAGGCAGAGGCTGCCTGCTTTCTTCGAAGTCGCTGCCGTCACGCAGTTTTTTTCCTTTGGGCCTTTTCCCTTGCCTTCTCGGGAGCCCCGTATCTAATATGGTGTGGCACTGCTCTAAGTCCATACCCCCATTAAAAAAAAAAAAAAAAAAAAAAAAAAAAAAAAAACCCTTCCTGAGAATCACCAGCCGCCCTCTTTCTAGTAACCTTAGTAACGCCTCCTCGTAGCATCTTCACTGAACCGCTCACTCTAATCTGCTTTTCTTTGTTCTTATCCGCCCCCAACCCGCCCCAAACCCAACCCCCGCGCCCAATAAAACCATTCTCATAATTAGAGCAAAAATAACTTTCTTTCGTTTTACCACCCACACAATAGATACCATTCCAAATGCAGTGCTGGTGGCAGAGGAGCTAACCAAGAATGTAAGGAAAGGAAGACTAGGAAATAGGGGCGATTTCACGGGGCTGCGGATTCTCTGCAGACAAGCGACCTGGCACGTGTTAGAAGAGAACCAAAAACAGTTACAAAAAAGAGAGGAAAGAAAAGAAGGAAGAAACGCAGGAAAGAAAAATTACTTTACGTTCCACCAGATTATCACTGTGTTTTACTTTTTCTGCATTACAGTGCTTCGTTCTGCTTTGCAGCCCAGTGACTGCGTTAATAATCTCTTGTCTCCCTCTGGTTGATGCTTGATATTCATCTTTGCTTCCTCCTCAGTACCCAACACGGTTCCTTGGAAACCACAGCACTAATTAAATATGTGTTGAATTGAACTGGCACACCACTGACTTTAGAGAAAATCTTGGCACTTAATGCGAACCCATCATTTTACATCTTTTACACTGCACAGTAGATAACAATATCCTCATTGGTTCAAGTCTCCCTTCTGCCTGACAGTAAATTATAGCTATTTCCTGCCTAATGCAAAGCAGTGACTATGGTCTTAAAAATCTGTACCTTAAATTACTGTAAATTCAATGACTTCAAAATGCAATCTGATTACACATCAGTGAAAAGCATTTATTCACAAACTTTAAAGTATTGGGAACCTCACAATTTAACAATATACTATATTGAATTACTTTGTCAAACAATTCCCTTTTTAGTAAAAATCTAAAAATATATATTTAGTTCTTTTATTTATCATCAATAAAATCAAACACACCTGCACCTTGTATATATTCAATTTACTTTCTAACAATATTTGATGTTTAACAGCATTTTTCTTCCAGTCTTAGTGTATGTATTTTTGTCTGCTGCTTCATTTAACTCTTAGGACAAGCCTGTGCTGCTGTGTTATGAGCCCCATTTTGCTTTTAAGAAACAGAAGCATAGAACATAAAGCCACACACCTGGTGAGGGGCTAGAAACAGAAGTGCTTCTCTACTACAAGATCCAGTTTGCTTACTCTCTCAGTCTCTCTTTGTGTAAATTTCAGTCTTTCTTTTTAACTTACAGATTGTGTGGGAAGTAACATTCTGGTTCTAACATTTTAAGAGTTTCAGATCTGTTGCTACCAAGACCATTCAGCTACAATTTGCATTTTTCCCTTTGAGGCAGCAGTTATTGAAAGTGAGAAAATAGAAAATAATTGTTAGATATAGATCACATGATCTGAACTAAAAACAATTAATACAAGATAGAAAACCCACCTGTTCAGGAAACCTCAAGGTAGCAAGTGCAGCTCAACAACTATGAAAAACACAAATATAGGTCTTTATTAAGTGCCTATTTTAGGCAGAACTGTGTCCTTCATCATCAGAGTTACAAACATGTAAAAGCCACTCCTTACTCTCGAAAGTCCACTGGTAAGAAAGAAAAACTATATAGAATAATAACAACAATTTAGCCTATCATATGCCAACTGCCTAGTAAATGGCATGAACCTGTGGTTCCCAATCTGTGAATGTGTTATTTCAATTAATATGAAAATTTAAAGGCTGTGTGTGTGGTGGAGGTGACAAAAGTTGGTCCCCATTCCCCTTCATCACTTTCCCCTCTTCACATTTTTATTGCTTTCCCCACCCACCAAAAAAAAAAAAAGCTGCTTTAGGAAACAGTATGTAAAGAGACACACTTCAAAGTCAGCAAGACCTGCATTTAAATGAGGTCTGACACTTACTATCTAGGAGGTATTGGGGAAGTTATTTAATTCTCTGAGTCTTAATTTCCTTATCTATGAAATGGAGATGATAGTAGTAGTATCTATCTAACCAGGGGGTTGAAGAGGTTTAAAATGAAATGATGCAGCTAAAATGCTTAGCATGATGCCTAGTTCATAATAAATACATATAAATGCTACTTGAGGAAAGAATCTGATTACAGGCATTCTTTCTTAAGAATAACTTTAACAATTAATGCTTCTTGAATATGGTCCAGAAATGGATCCATACATATATAAATAATCCCATGACTAATGGCACAGGTTTAAGTATAAACTTTTCAATACATAGTTCTGGGTCAATAGAATAATATGATAAAAAATAATCTTGATTCCTACCTTATACCATACACAAAGTTAATTTCAAAGAAAATATCTTTGTGATATTTCATGATATTTTCTTGAAGGTGGGAAAGTTTTTTAGATAGGAAACACAAGTAGCTAAATATAAAGGAAAAATTAAATTACGGACTTGTTCATTTAAAAGGCCTTATTAAGAAAGTGAAAGTTCAGTCACAGGATGGGAGAAAATATTGTATTATGCACATTCAACACATTATCAGAATATAAACAGAACTTTAAAAAGTATGAAATGAAAGAAAGAAACCCAATAAAAAATTACCAAAAGACTTAAACAGACAATTCAAGAAAAAAAAGGATATAAAAATGGCCAATGTACATGTATACTAGTTAACAAAGAAAAACAAATTAAGAACACAATACACATTAGCTATATGGAATACAGAATAGCTAAATGGAAAAGACAGATCTGGTGCTGATGAAGATGTGGCATGACTATAACTCTTACGTGCTGCTGATGCAAGTGTAAATTGGTACAACCACCTTGGAAAAGGTGTTTGGTAGTACCTACTGATGTTGAATGTATATATTCTATGTCTCATACATTCCAATCCTCAGTGTATTTTCAACAGAAAAGTGTACATATGTTCATCAGAAGACATGTACTAGAAAGCACTAGCTGTAAGTAACAGCAATATTTATAACTCAAAATCTGGAAGCAATGCAAATGTCCATCAGTATTAGGATTGTTAAATGAATTGTAGTTTATTCACACAATGGAATACTATACAGAAATAAAAATGAATGAAGTACAGTTATATGGAACAACATGGATGAATATCAGTAACAATGCTGAGCTAAAGAAGCATTATATATGCAAAATAATACATACAGCATGACCCCATTGATATAAAAGACAAAAGCAAAAGTTATCCCTCACAAGTCAGAGTAGTGGTTCTTCTGGTGGGTATAGGGGAGGCAGTGGTGGCTGTGGGCAGGAGGAGAGGATGCTTTTAGGGACATGGTAATGTTCTATTCCTTGATCCCAGCATTCATGACATGAGTGGTCCATTTAGACCTATAATCTGTGCATTTTATGTATATGTTATATTGCAACAAAAGGTTTATATTTAAAAATGTAACTTTTCCTAGAGATTTAAAAAATTTTAAGTCCAGTTAGTAAATGGACGTGTTAGTGACTGGAGTAATTTCAGGTGTGACAGAATAGGTTGGGGAGTGCTTCAGTGGGACTTCTTGGGGCTTTGGAAATTATGCCATATAAATGCTTACACAGTCAAAAACAAATTTCCTATTGGCACTGAGACAGAGGCAGACCAAGGTCTTTGTAAGTGTTGAGAAAGCCTCTAGTCAGCACCCAAAGGACTGAAAGCACCCTGGCCTGTACTTCCTGTACATTTATGAGCCAGAATCTGGCGGAAGGCAGCTAGCTCCACCACCTCTGTAGTAAAGCTCAGTCCATAAATAGAGACACCATCTAATAGCTATCTTTTGCAAGCTGGTCAAAGGTCAGTTACTTGCTTGTGTAAGTGCCAGGAGGAGGCTGCTGGAGTGTGAATACTGAGGTTGGATGTACACTGTGAAGCTGAGTGGAAAGACAGCAATATACCAATTAGCCAAATGAATTAATTGTCATTGTTAGGCTTGCTCCCAGGAGGCAAGAACAAAAACAGGGTGTTTATAATTCCCCTCTCTGAGTCAGTTGTGGATAAAGAGCTTTGTGATTAAGCAATAGGGTGACACTTACCGAGTCGGATGAGATGAGAAGCAGGGACAGGGAACACTACATATCACTGGAAAACTGAGGCTCTTATTTTTTGTCATATAATATCCTTAGGTTTAAGGATTTTACTCTTCACTCAGAAATGTGCAAGTGGAGGCACTCACTGTATTAATGAACGTTGATAGCTGTTGTACCTCTAGATTCCTCCTTAAGGGCTGGCTAGGCCTCGGCCTACGATCATGGAAAAGATATAATCCCTCCCCCCATATCAAGGTTCAATTC